TCATTTGGAAAAGATGACTCATTGCATTGTAAGTTTTGATTTTTCAAAAATGAACAAATTTTGTTTGTTATTTTAAAAATATTTTTGACTGCGTCACTACTTACGGAAAATAACCTAGCCACCCCTCAATATTAGCTTGATATGGAATATTTCGGTGTAGATAGGGAAAAGTATTATGAATTTAGTTCTATGAAAGTGATTATTAAGTTTTTAAATTGATTTTGTTAACTATCGAAAGTTTATGACCATAATTTGAAAAAATGATGATGAACTCTAGGTGGAATACCACATTTTCCCCAGTGTCTGTGCCTGGCGATGATGGTCGTATTGGTGGATGCCTAGAGGGCACACGCTGAGCGGCCCAAGTGCTTACATTGTGCAAACTTTCGCTTCTTGTGCAGCTGATGCTGAATGTAGCTTCTGCTGCTGCCGCTGCCGCTGCTTTTCTGTTGATGTTTTTGCCACGGCTGTTGATGTTGCTGATGGGGCCGGCTGGGGCATGAAATCTTATAAAACTTATTGTTCCATTTCCTTTCACTTTATGTAAATTAAACATTGCATTATTCTTGCATATGCGCGACTGCGGAGCAGGAAGGACAAGTGGGTGGTGGCGGTGGAGTGCGAGATACATGCAGATATGTATTTGCATTTTGCACTTGGCACATGTGCCAAGTTCTTTTTCTTTTTTCTCCGCCTGCGTGTGTTGTTTACTTTTCGTTTAACAAGGCAAAGGGTCGGAAAAGCTGTTGCATATGCAAACTTAATGGCTCTGCGCTGATTTGATTGATTCCATGATATCAATACAGGGACAGTGTGTATCCAGTTCTGTAAGGTCAAGGTTTTGAATGGATTGAGTTCTTATTTTTGCAGAAAATGAGCAATTGGAACTATTGAGCAGACAAGGTTAAATTGTCAAAAAAAGGAAAATATTTGAAGATACTTTAATACCCAATGAAAATTCAAATCAATTTTTTCCCCTGTGCAGTTGGGACCGCCCACTGCAACGGGCTTTCATCGATGATTGCCGCGTATAGAAATCAATTTCACGCTGGCAGCTTTGATGATTTCCCTAGTACGTCGGCACGCAATGAAACGCAGTTTATAATTTTCGCCACTAAAACTCGGTGCATGCCAGTAATTTGTAATTCGATGCATTCGGCGCGTTTTCATCTCTCGCATTTTCACTGTCATGCCTGGATGGAGGCGACTGGCTGGGTTGATGGAGAACGGAGAATGGAGAATTCTCACCGACCATGAACTCATCTCTCGTGCGTTGCACAAAAGGATTTTGCCAAGTGGTGCCACATGTGTGTGTGTGTGTTTGTACTTTCGAGAAGGAGCATTTACTGCGTAGTTTTTCCACAGTTTTCCCCGCTTTGAAACCGTCTGCAGCCCCCCAATTCCTTAGACACGTTTCAAGTACCTAGCAAAAACGAAAACAGTGCGCAATATTTTCACACTGGAAAGGAATGTGACGAGGGTGAAAGCGGCAGAAGGGGAAATTCTGCTTATCATCGTGTCACTTTGCATTACATAAAACCGAAAAGTGTGACGAGAAAAAACCCTCTGAAAATTGTGAATTTGTGCACTAGATAAACACTATACATCAGGTATTTAGAGAATAGGGAGAATTAAAATCCACTTTAAATGCTAAACAAATCGGTGTTTTTCAACTGGCAAGCACAGTCCAATGTCAACAAATGAAAAATAACAATGAGAACTACGAGCCATATCAAAAATCAATATAAATATCATTAAATATTTGTCATCCACTCATTGCAGTGGAATGGGGAATAAGGAAAAGCTAAATGAATGGGATTTCCCCCTAGAACTCATCGAGCCACTGCTGTTTTTTTGACAAACCAAACTTAATTTACAATTACAGTAATTGCTGAATTACAAATCATTTGAATATGAATTATAGCCATCAATTTAAACGTAATACCATTAACTTAAAACTATAGTAATCGGAATTATTATAAACAAACTAAAAAAAGCAAAACAAATTATGGATTATTATAGCATAATTCCTTCTATCATGTTAATGCCTAGTTTACAATCATAACAACGTAATCTGATAATGATAATGAATCTGATTATTGAGCCATTGATTTAGATAGGTTAACTTTATAATCAACTATTGCGTAGTCAACGGTTTTTGATTTATGATTCACAAAAGTTTATATTCAGCTAATAGAAAATAAATATGTATTATACAAGATGCCACAAAAACCAATGAAAAAGATAAGCTAGTTTTGGCTAAAACGTTTACTGCAAGTTTTGGTAACGTTGAAAAGCTGCTCTCGCCCTCGAACATTTTATTTAGCTTATTGATTATAGCTGGGAAACCAATAGACATGCGTCAAATGCATACTACTCAAGAGGAGGAGGAGGCAGGATGAGCTGTAGTACTACAGTCTACGTTGTGGTAGAGCTGGCCAACATCGATGGTTGGGTGACATCCTTGATAAGTAATAGACCAATAGAGGAAATTGATTTTCTACCGCTTATACTATATATTTCATACTGTATATAGATACTGATAATATACTTATATTAACAACGCATTTCTTTCTATCTCAAAAGATAAATTAGAAGTTTCAAATCTATCGATTAAGTAGAAACCAATCGATAATATCGACATTGGCCTCGAGGCGTAGCCATCTCCAATTTGGGGGTTTTGGGTTGGGAAAATAATTTCCCACCAATGAGTGGGCGAAGCCTGCCGACTGTCGGCTGTCGACTGGCGCTTAGTCATTAGATGTCCAAAACGATGACTGTGTTTTAGTGGTTGGGCGTCGAAAATCTTATAAATGCCAGCAGAAAACAACAGGCAAACAAAGCAAGGCAAAAGCAAAACAAAACAGGAGAGGAGAACCAAAGTGAATAGCAGTGGCCACAAAGCGGACTTGTCTCATTATTTTGTGAGCCGCCCGACCTGCCTGCTGGTTGGTATTTGTTATTGTTTTCTACGATGATATGCTCGGGAATTTCGCTACCACTGCTGCTGAGTAAATAATGTCATAAGGTCACACGCACAACAACACACATTAAAGGGGGGAATACTGTTGGGCCTAATGGTTAGCCATTGTTGTTTTTGGTCATTTGTCTTGGGACTTTCGGGCTGGGTAGGGCTGGGCAGTGTTCGTTGTTCGTTGATGGTTTTATATAAAATAGCATAATAAATGGCCAGCCCAGTCTTCTAGATTCGCTATCGCCGCTGCCCATATTAAATGTCACTTCGGGGCTGACATTGTTTGCTCCCAGGTCCCCGCCCCAAACCGAAGGTGATTGAAACAAATTAAAGCGAAAAACAGTGCAGAAATTCAATTATCAACCGGGCAGCGGTCTGAAAAGCGTTGCCCATCGTTACTCAACGTGGAAAATGAGTGAAATAAAGCCTCCGTCAAAGGCAGCTGTGCAAACTTTTCACTCTCCACTCGCACCCACTCTCTCTGTTTTGCTCTTTTTTACCTTTCCGTGAGTTCCGGCTGGCCAGCTCACACTCAATCACACACATGCGTATTCTGGTGTGTCGGACACGGCGAAAAAAGTCATAAAAGTTGGTTAAGAACTGGGCCAATACCTCAAAATGTCTCATATTGTCTAAAATACCACAGAATAAATAAATAAATAATAATAATCTAATAAGAAACTTCTTAACACCCAACTTGTCTTAATGTTTTCTCTCTGTGCACAGACGCCCACGCGTCTCGATTTCCATTTCCACCGGCAGGCAGCTGGCCCAAGCGAAGTTGATCGCATTTACCTGTTTGTCACTCATACGCCTTGTGGTCCCAGTCAGTAGTTGTATTTTTTCTGGCTCTTTTATTTGCTGCTCTCTGGCTGGTGGGCATGTGGGTATGTGGGTGTTCCTGGCGATGAGCGAGTGTTGTATGGTGTGTGCTGCGACATGTTAAACATGTTTTCGCTTGGAAATCGACGGTGGGCAGTCGGTTTGACTTGCATTTGTGCAAATTTGTGTGCTTAACTGGAAACACTGAACAAGTTCCGCAATGTCGTCCTCGAAGTGAAAACTGTGCAGTAGTAACAGCAGTAGCAGCCACACACACTCGCACATGTGGTACCACTTTCCTGCCACAGTCAGGCATTTCCCTCAAATTGAAGTTCAACCTGGGCCAGTTGATTTCTCCCCCTTCGAAACAAGCCATGCAAATGAATGAGTTTTCCCAGCTTGTGCGCGTCCTTCATTTGGCTTCATTTCCGTTCAAGATGACAGCGGCATCTAGTTTCCGGTCAATGGCTTTTCCGGGCTCGTTTTGATTTAATTCAGACGCCACGCTAAATTAAATTTAACAGTTAGTTACAGTTGGCAATTGAGCGGCAACCGCTGAGCCCTAAGCTGGCCAAATTCTGGGCTTTTGCGGTTGTGAATGTCCAGAGCTTGGGAAGTGCTTTTGGTTTTCGTGGTCTGCAGGCGAAAGTTGAGCTGGCGGGAACGGAATTCAGGATTCAGTAAATGGCAGACGTCAATCAATCAATCAGGAGACAGATTGCAATTGCAAATGTAGCTCATGGGACATTTGTTCACTGAGTTTGTCAGCGAAAGCAAGGAAATTGATTAGCTAAACTTAAGAAATACCGATTTCAATTTGTTCCCAATAAAAGGACAATTTGTTACGAATACTAAATGAAGTTTAAAACCAGTTCCAGTAGGCAATTCAAATGTAATAACCTTTGAATTTACATTTGCTTTTGAATTTAAATGCTCACCTTGGATTTTAGTGCTGCCACAGTTCCTATTTTGTTATCAGCTATCTGTTATCTGGTAACAAAGAAATCACAGGCAAAGCCTTTATCTGCGAACGCACACACAAACGCACCAGCAAAGCCCATGATTAGATACACCTGTATGCTTCATTTTATCAGACTCGGGGCTTTTGCGGACTGCCTTTCACTGCGTTGTCAAATTTTGAGTAATTTGTACCGATAAGAACTATCTATCTGACGAAATGCTATACCTTTCCGTTTGATTGCAGTGCATGTGATGCCAAATATCCATAAAGCCCAATAAAGAAATAAAGGAAAGCAAACGCGAACTACTATGTGAATGCAGCAATCAGCAGTTAGCCAGCAGCAGCAGCTCTCTCTCTCAGTTAACCAAAATTGATGTGCCATTCAAGAGCAGCAGCGCAGAAGCCAGGATCAGGATCAGAGCAACGTAGAAGCTAAGCGAGAGTATTAACCAGAGTAAGGCGCATCGCAAATGCAACAATCCCTCCAGTAAACAATACAAAAACCAAGCAAAGTACAGCAAACAGAAGAAACAGGTGAGTTATTACCGTTGTTGTTGTTGACTGATGGAGTCGCTGTGAGCTAATTGATTACCCCACTTTATTCCAGTGTACATATATACAACTGTAACGAATTTAAGCAACAAGCGGTTCAAGAAGAGTATACCCTATTTCACGCCCCCAGAGTTCCCGTCTGATAAATGCCAAGATAAGTCGTTACCGCTTTAATACCGCCATCAACATTACCCAGCAACAGAAGCTGATCCAGCAACTCCAGCAGCAGCAGCAGGCGATCGCTTTCAAGGGGAAGAAACAACAACAACAACACAAGCAGAAATTGCAGTTGCAGCAGCCGTTGCAGTTGCAGATTGGTCAGGAAACGAACACAGAACAGAGAGAAGGAGTAGGAGCAGTAGAGCTGTTGGGCTTACCCAGGAGTAAAGAAAACAATTGCAAGACGCCAAACTCAACCGCAAAAGTCGCCAACATAACACATAAAATTTTCGGTTGGCTACGCAAATCACGCAACAAACGGCCAGTCGAGATCCTCAACAGCGATTTCGGCGAAGACGGCGACGAGGGCGTTGGCGAGGGCAAAGGCCAAGGCGCAGGCGAGGGAGGAGGAGCAGCTGCCAGTACAGCTGGCGGTGAAGCCGATCAATTTTCAGTGGCAAGCGTTAAAAACAAAGCCGGCAAGCTGAATACCACACAGACAGCCACGGAGACCGCCATCGATTCAAACGAACCCAAATCTGAAAAGATGTCATCGGGCACGTTTGTGGATCGAATCGACCCGTTCGCCAAACGTTCGCTCAAGAAGAAGGGTAAAAAGAGTCAAGGTTCCTCGCGCTACAGAAATTCTCAGGATGTTGAGCTGCAGCAATTGCCGCCGTTAAAAGGTAACTACATGTCTTATTTCTCTTTAAAATTTGCTTATTAATACTTCGCATTCACAGCCGATTGCTCCAGTCTAGAACAGGAGGAGCTGTTTATACGGAAGCTGCGCCAGTGTTGCGTGTCCTTTGACTTTATGGATCCCGTGACGGATTTGAAGGGCAAGGAAATCAAACGAGCCGCGCTCAATGACCTATCCACCTATATAACACATGGGCGCGGTGTGCTTACGGAACCGGTTTACCCGGAAATAATTCGCATGGTAAATAGTCGGACTACCACAATACATTTAGTATTACTCTGAAAGTAAAATATAAGCTTTTAGTAAACCTATGGCTCTATATAAGGGCCAATAAACTATTCTAAGCTCTTAATGTTACTTAATTCTTTTAACAATGTTTATTTTCTTTTTACTAGATTTCTTGCAACCTATTTCGCACGTTGCCGCCCAGTGAGAACCCTGATTTCGATCCCGAGGAAGATGATCCGACACTGGAGGCGTCCTGGCCACACCTACAGCTGGTGTACGAGGTGTTCTTGCGGTTCCTGGAGTCCCAGGATTTCCAAGCGACCATCGGCAAGCGTGTGATCGATCAAAAGTTCGTCTTGCAGGTGAGTTTGAAATACAGAACATGTAATATTTCAAGTTTATTAATATATACTTTCTGATATAGCTGTTGGAGCTTTTCGATTCGGAAGATCCTAGGGAGCGGGACTTTCTAAAAACGGTATTGCATCGCATATACGGAAAATTTTTGGGACTGCGGGCTTTTATACGAAAACAAATTAACAACATATTCTTGCGATTCATTTACGAGACGGAGCACTTTAATGGTGTCGGTGAGCTTTTGGAAATTCTTGGAAGGTATGTTGTACATCCTTAGAAATCTTTGGACCTAACGAATATTAATGGATATGTGCCTTTTTTCAACAGTATCATCAACGGATTCGCCTTGCCTCTAAAGGCCGAACACAAGCAGTTTTTGGTTAAGGTCCTATTGCCACTGCACAAAGTCAAATGCCTGTCGCTCTACCACGCTCAACTGGCGTATTGCATTGTACAATTCCTAGAGAAGGATCCATTCCTTACCGAACCGGTGGTGCGTGGTCTGTTGAAGTTCTGGCCCAAGACGTGTTCCCAAAAGGAGGTCATGTTCCTGGGCGAGATCGAGGAGATTCTTGATGTGATCGATCCGCCGCAGTTTGTCAAGATCCAGGAGCCGTTGTTCCGTCAGATTGCAAAATGCGTGTCGAGTCCACATTTTCAGGTGAGTTATTGGGTTAGAGTAAAAGCTCTTAGCTAAGTTTTATTAATGTGTTATATCGATTTTATTTAGGTTGCTGAGCGAGCTCTTTATCTGTGGAACAATGAGTACGCCATGTCGCTGATTGAGGAGAACAATGCGGTCATCATGCCCATCATGTTCCCGGCCCTTTATCGCATCAGCAAGGAGCACTGGAATCAAACCATCGTGGCGCTCGTCTACAACGTATTGAAAACGTTCATGGAGATGAATTCTAAGCTGTTCGACGAGCTAACCTCCAGCTACAAGGCAGAGCGGCAAAAGTGAGTCCGAAATTAGTATTTACTTGAGACAAAAACTAAACAATCTAATATTTTAGGGAGAAGAAACGTGAGCGTGACCGCGAGGAGCTGTGGAAGAAGCTGCACGAACTCGAATCCAATCGTTCTAGTGGGCGCACCGCCGGCGGCAGCGCTACGACATCGAACAGTGCAGCTCCCGCGGCGTCAACGTCCCTGCAGCCACCCAGCACCGCTGGTCTGAACTCTCATCAGCAGCAGTCGAATAGCAGCAGCAGCGGTAGTCTGTCCAGCGGCGGAGCCGGAGGCGACAATAATCCTGCGACCACAAATGCGAAAATCAAACAGGATAAGTCGGACAACTAAGCAAACGCAAGGCGCGCCCGAAACTAACAATAATAATTAAAAAAAAACCAACATCAGTAAAAAAGCGTAAGCGTAACGCGTTATCCGATACCCGTAAACGGCAGAGACAGCAACCACATCTAAAGGAGAAAAAAAATAGTTATACTAAACCACACATATGCTAAACATTAAAACCAGAACATATAAAAACTAAAACGTATACTCGATTGACAAGACACCAACCAAGCTGACCCGCAAGACGCTTGGGCGGCTGTTGAAGGAGGTAGAACCGAAATCTGGAGCGGGAGCTGAATCAGATCCCCGAGCGTGTGTGTGTGTGCGGTAATTAAGAATATTGAGTGCGGCATAAAAGAAATCTTTATAAATAATGTATCTTACATCTACAGCAACCAACACACACACACATACACACACACGTGCGCGAACCGTATACATATATATTACAAAAGAAGGAAAAATAATTATTAATTACGTTTAAGCGAAAAGAAGTTGAATAAAGAGAAATCATGTTAGTAAGTGAAAAAGAAAATCAGAAGAAGAGCGATAACTATAACGGATCGACGATTGTTGAAGCGCATTGAATATTATTAACTAAACATATTGCTAACTAGATCCTAGCATAGATCAGCCATCCTATCCCCACCCACGAACACTACACAACACCTCCAAAATATCACTTAAATGTTCACTTGCAAAATATATAATTGCGTTCATTTGAAAATTGTAAAATAGTTGAAACTGCGCTGCATCTTCAGATTTTTTGTTGTTTGAATGAATTGCTCCATAGAACGGCGTGTCTTAGTCCAGATTTCCCGATTTCCTACTGAAATGTATATAAAATATCAGAGAACTGTGCTCCTCCTCACCCTCCTCCTTCCCCTTATATAAACCAGAATGAAACTTTGTTACTTAGCTTTAAGTGTTGCACACTCCGTCAAGACTTCTCGAAAACAGAAATTCCAACATTTCCCGCTAAACGCATGCGCGCAGTTACGAAGTTCGGCTTTCGAATATAGGACATTGAGAAACAAAAGCAAAGCCAAGTTTTAGTATATTGTTGAAGTTGCTGCTAAACGGGCCAAGATAGACAGGGAGCCGGTAAATCTATAAATAATTAAGAATACAATTAAACTACCATACCATAAACGTACGATAAACGCTGATCTATATAAATGTATGTAAAGTGTGCGGAAAATACACAAAAATATATCTCCAAGCTGAGGAATAGGCGCATGCGCAGTAATCGAGATGAACTCGGCAAAAAATGAAAGAAAATGAATTCAAATATTGAGCATTGTAAAAAGATTAAGCTAGAGAAACCAACAACAACCAAGCAAACGATTGTTTATAGAACAAGGTTATGGAAAATTCAGCTTGGCATAGACTCTTCTCCCCCCAACCCTCCTTTACGATAATTGGCATCTTGCGAAACATTTCCAAAGTCCACTCCATGCTCGATGCACCCACATCCACTAATATTATCCTTTGCATAAATGTATATCTCTGAGGAAAGCGGTCCAGTGTCGTCGATGTCCCAAAATAGTTTGCAAATTCCTTTCTCAGACTTTTCTTCTCCTCGATTTAATTGATTTATTTTCAATCCTCACGGAAATGCGCACAATTGTCATTCGATTTGCTAAACAATGTTTTCAAGTGTAAATAATGTAGCTAAGATGAAAAAAGGGGGAATACTTTTGGACCGCTTTCCCAGCATCTCACTCACTCACACACACTCTCTTAGCCGCACTCATAGTAAGGAAATATATAAAATTTATATATGAAATATACTATGCATATGTATGTTTGTTCATTCAACTCTCACGCCCATCACAAAGTATAGAAGCATGCATTATAGGAGCAAAAACTAGGAGCGGAGGCAGGCGATGATAGGGAAGTAAATAGGACGAGATGAAAATATCCACTAATGAATGTCTCATTAAGCGAAACCGCAAAAGTTCATATAATATTAAAGATAATTGTGTCTGTGAATCGTGAGTTATTATACACATATATGTATACATATATTGCAAAAAAATAAGAAAGAAAAAAAACTATACAAAAAAATCTAAAGGAAACGTAAAAGTTAGCGTTATTATTAAATATGTTTGTAAAACGTCAACAAATATGCAGCAACAACAAAAACAAAAAAGTAAACAAACAAACAAAAGCGAGGGAGAAGCGTTTGAAGTGCATCAACTAAGGAGTCATCAGCGGCTAGAGCAGAGAGAGTATATTTCGAAAAAAAATTGAACCTATGGCCTAAATACTAAGCAACGTGTGTAAGAAAGTTTTGCATCTTTATATTAGCGTGTAATTAAATAAAACAAATAGCTAAACAAAGCCCAAGCCTAAACAGCAACTACAACTAGAGCTACTACAAAGAGAACCCACAATTATCATCCTATACCCCCCTTCCATCATGTTCCTTCCCCTTGAGAAGCAATAGCGATCAGATCATCTAGCTCCCGAACGTTAAGACTTACTGCCTTTAATGATCCCAAGAAGAACACCAAAACACTAAAACTAAAGTAAATAAAGAACAGGAGAAAGTAGAATGTTAGAAGTCGAAGGCAGAAGTTCTTGGCCTGTTTGTTATGCCAATCCCGTAACACCAAAACTCTATTCCTAACTAGCAGATCCATAAAACACACATTCACACACACACGCACAGACAGGAATAGGACCCATCTCTAGTTAAAAGTTGATGTTCGCATAGGATGCCAATCAGTGACAAAGCAAAAAACATATTCAAATAATGTAAAAACGAAAAAAACAACAACAACAACAAGAATTAAATACAAAATGTTGAAAAAGAATGCCTAATAAACGATAAATACTTATATAAGTCAAGTGGTCTAATGATTAATGTCTCTTAATTTCTGTTTGTTTTGTGATCAACACTTCTGTTGCACTCTGAGTTAACCTGTTTAGTCCGCTTTCAACTCTTATATGGTAACTTTAACTATAGTTTCTATTATTGTATTTATATGTATAAACAAATTGAGCATGTTAAATCGTAACTGCAGAAGCTGCTTAGAGCCAGCTGAGCAAAGAAGTATAAGCAAAAGCAAAACTCGTTAAGTACTTTTAGAGACAACAAAAAACCCTGTACTAAGAAGTGTACTAAAAAATAAAGTCGCATTAACAACGTTGCATCAAAAAAGCTAAAAAAATTTAAAAAAAAAACAAATTAAAATGAAAACGGAAAAAGCTAACAACAAAAACCAACAACAATAAGAGCAAAGAAAAATAGTTAAAGCGCTTAAACAATATATGGTAAACACTATGGATACTAACAATGAAATGAGAATGAGCCGATGGAAAAGGATAAATATATATGTGAATTATGTATTTTCTTATGTTCTAGACTTGTAAAAAAAACCCTATCGTATATGACACATGCTATTATTACGTATAACTTTGAGTTCTTGTTCTATAGGAGGCGGTGTGCGAGGATTTCGATTGTTTTCTTGGGTTAAAGGCACACTGCAGCACACTCACCTACACACACTTATACCCACTCATACACTCACACACATACACACACACACAACTAAACAAAATCTTATGCTGAGAGTAAATATAAAGAGTAAATTATAATTACACAAACATAAATGGGAATAAATATATATAGGTACATACATGCATATATATAAAAGAAAAAACAAAAGTATATATATATACAAGAGCATCGGAAAACAAAGGTTTAGTTGATTGCTTTCGAATCCAGGCAGCAAGTATGCGAGGAAAAATAACTAATGGCGAGAGAGAGAGAGAGAAAGAGCAGCAGGAAAAATTGAAATTGCAAACAAATATTTAGCTGCAAGCAGAATTAACCAAAAATGATTAAAAACCAAGTAAAAACATGAAAAACACATAAAAACTGAATGAATGAGAAAGAGCAAACGGAGAGAAAAGAAGCAAAGAGATCAATCAACAATAAAAAATTAATAAATACAAAATAAAACACAAAACTCGTTTGATTTTAAATGGTAAAGAAATATTCAATTGGGAGATATTGGCTTTCGTTTTTAAAGGAACTTCCTCTGGGATCCATGAAAGAGGACACAGTTTTCTAGGAAAATATCTATAGATACTATAAAAATGATTCTTTTTCTATAGATTTGGATACCAACACCTATAAACCCCTGAAGAAAAAATATAATTTTTGAAAAAATATACAATTTGGTTTTTGCATATTTTAGCAATCAGCTTTTGTTCGCTGGGAAAGCTAGAAAATTCATAGAGCTTTGCCGCCGAGCCACAAAAGCTGTGCCTTGCAGTTGGTTCGCTGCCGTCGTCAGGTGCAGTTGGGAAATCGCGAGAAAAATCAATTTTCGAAAATTGCATCCACTCGTTGAAATTTCTCCCGTGATCGATCCTCCTCCATGAAGTGGGAGAACTATTGCGACTTTGTGGCCGGATGTTTTGGCGGTGAGTGTGGCAAAGCTCCAGCTTTGAGTTCATCATCGGGCGTCCCATATTGGGAAGAAACTCTAGCAATGACGCAATGCAAATAGCAAACCAGATGAGATAGGCCACTTGTTGAGAGGAGCAGCCCCAGCCTCAGCGGAAAACGGGCGCCATGGTCAAGTTCACGTGCAGCGCCCCTGATCCGTTTGCATTCTTGGCAAGCGGCTTTCAGGCGGTGCAACATGTGTTTTCCTTATTTGTGGCAACAATTTTTAATTAATTTATGCTATATTAATGATTATCTTTAGGTGCTTGCGGGGTGCTGGTGGCCCACCCACTCGACACAATCAAAGTATGGCAACAGGCCTCGAATTCATCCGTCGTGACAGCTATTCAACAGATCTACAGTCGCAACAATGGGGTAAGTTCGGTGAAGGATGACGCCGAGTTTGGGTTTTGTAAAATATTCTTTTTGCTCTCTATTTAACATTGTAAAGAATTTATTGTTTAACCCTAACTCGACGTGATCCTTTATGCGGGGTAGCAGGGGGTTAATCGGTCAGCATTGCTTTAAAGGTCAACGGCTTCTACAGGGGCATGTTCTTCCCGTTCATCTCGACGGGAGCGATCAACTCGCTGCTCTTTGGCATCTACGGCAACCACCTGCGGCAGCTGAGGAAGGTGTGCCACAGTGATTACCAACGTGAGCAGCTGGAGTACCACAACATGTTCTTGGCGGGATCGGTGGCTGGTTTCGTGCAATCCTTCATCGCCTGTCCCATGGAGCTGATCAAAGTCCGTCTGCAGACAGCGACCTGTAAGTTTAACTGTATATTTCCATACAGAAATGGAAAGCTAATCTCGGACAGACTTTAGATTACAATGACTACCTCTATGGCCAGCGGCGGACTGCCTTTGGCACTTTCAAAAGGATACTCAAGACTGATGGGATCTCGGGACTCTATCGCGGCCTGTTGCCAATGATGTGTCGGTGAGTTTGTCGATAAGTTTTGCAACATTCAAGGTTATATTTTCTTAATAAAAACCTAATATTAATGCGTATTAAGATCACTTTAACAATCGAATTACCTCTGATTTAGAACCAGAACGTAAAGTTATTGAATCATTGAAAAAAATCCCATTTAACTTGGGTAACTACCATTTTAAATTAACGATAATCAGTTAAATTCAAACTTATAATCAAACACGTTTCAAATAAAAGTTTAAGGAGACATATTTCTAAAATTCTATATGTTTGAACGTAATAAAATCGAGAATATGGGGGTTCCTGTAAGCTCGGGGTTTTTTATACTTTTTGACGAAAGCACTTGAAAAAGTCAAGAGTAAAACTCGATTTGCCGGCTACCGTACCAGCGGTTCATTCATGATATAAAATACGCTAGAGTACGAGTATACCGTATACATCAACAATACAAATTATCATAATGCATCAGTGACTTTCGATTGAAGTTTCCAGGAGTCTTAAAGATATTTTTTCGTAACATAGGTCAGCAGTGAAATTCCCCTTTCTTTAATTTATTAATATTTAGCTTCTTTTTTTTTTGTTATATTTTGTTTGTTAATACTGGAAATCAAAGTCGTTCAGGAAACAGGTTCTCGTTTCAGTAGCGAAGCGAAGACAATGAATGAATATAAATCTGTATTCCCCGATGAATCAGCATATAAAATTGCTTATTGGTTCTTTCGGTTAATTTTGCGTATGCACCTTTAAACTTTATAAAGGGAGGCAAATACTTTTAGTTATCAAGATTATGTTCTTATAAAAATTATTGTTTTTCTCTTCAAAGCGATGTCCTGCCTTATGGAATCTATATGCTGGCCTATCGCCAAGGCGTTGATTACATGGACAGACGGGATTTTGTGCGTCGGCGACGTAGTCAGTCGGACGGATCGAGTGTGAACCTACTGGTGACCACACTAGCAGGAGCCTGGGCCGGAGTCATCTCGTGGGTGTGTGTCATTCCGTTCGACGTGGTCAAGACGCTGATGCAGGCGGACGAGAACCATAAGTACAGGGGAATCTTCCACTGTGTGCGGGTTCAGTACAGGGCCTACGGCTGGAGGAGTATCTTTCGCGGCAGCTGGATGTTGGTGGCAAGAGCGGTCCCTTTTAATGCCGCCACTTTTCTGGGCTACGAGTACGCACTGGAGGGATGTCAGCGGTTGAATGGCACCTATGTATGACCCAGAGAGTCTGGTGGGGATTAAGAGAAGTACGCTATGGAGTGGTGTGAGCGGGTGTATGGCACCTATGTATGTATGAGTCAAAGAGTCTGGTGGTGATTAAGAGGAGTCAGCGGTTGAATATGAGCCAGAGAGTCTGGTGTTGACCAAGAGCTTTAACTAATTTGTATGCTAAAAACTTAAAAATCAACTGAGTCGCATGTGATTGAAATTTAATAAACTATTTTAATATTTTAATAACTAATTAAACGATGACTTGAAATTGTTTGTTTTAAATTGTTTTAAAATAAAATGGAAAAAATCGGTATATTTATACCTATTTTGTATACTATTATATAAAAAAACCAACCAAAAAAGTTGTATTTTTTTAGAAATTTGGTTGTGTTTCTATTTTTGGCACCTAATTCTGGGAATCCCAAAACTTTAAGAGTCATTCTTGGTCTATAACTGATACAAAATGATAAAAGGAAACAGAATTAAACGAATCGCAAAGAAAATTATTTTATACTCGTACAATGAGGGAAAAACTGATATGATCGAGTGAAGTCCTTCATATTCTATAAGAAATATAATATATGGAGAAATCAAGGAATTGCTTTGAAAATATTCCTTTGTTTTGGCCTTCCAAAATCATTGACCATTATATAAGACACGAGATTTCTTATGTTTCCTGTAAATGGAGCTCGATTTTTGAATTTTTTTTAAAACTTAAATTACCCATTCTTCTACCATTTCATTAAGAAAAACATGCATTCAGACATGTATTACCTTGCAACGAATACTTTATTGACTAACCTGACATGTTTTGTTTCATTCTAATAAGCATCTTTTATACTAAAGTTTGGGTCTCTTATAATCCAAAAATGTTGATGAGCTTTGATATGAAAGCTCGATATTGTCCCCAATTAAAAACAATATTCGGATAAAGAGCAGCGCCAAAAATTCTCTTTCGCCGAGCTTAGTTCCACGAATTTGATGTTGTGCAGCTATATAATGCAATGCCACCACATGGGAGAAATTAGTCTTCCAACCGGCATATTACTCAGCGGAACTGTCTCGCGCGGCATTGCTCTTTTAAAACAACTTAACTTAGAAAAGTTTATTAATTAAAAAAATAGAAAACTAAGCTGAAAATGGTTATGCGACTAATAACGAAAACTTTGCTTGTGTTCCAAGTATTTATTTTAATTCAATCGGCTAATACTGGTAAGAAAACTTAACCATGGCTAGTTTTCTGGTTCTATGAAACTGGCTCGAAGGGCTTATCCTTAAAACATAGTTTTAGCTTAGTGCAAATCATACCTAAGCCGTTTTAAACAACTTACAGAATTCCCTCCGTGCCAAATCAATGAAAAGTGCGTCAGACGATACTTGTGCCCCCATATGTATGATTTTTTCTTGGACTCAGAAATGTCAGGCATTCAGTGCGGAATCGATCATAGGGCGAGGACGACAGACCAGAGGATATACGTCTGTTGTCCAGAGCCGGGAAATGTTTTGCCAAACGAAAGGATTTGTGGACGAGGTCCTTTTGTCCAAAAAATTATGCATGGCGGTGAGGCTAGGCTTAATGAGATGCCATGGATAGCACTTCTTCTATACCATAATCCGAGGACCAAGTGTGCGGGCTCGCTGATCAACAGTCGATATGTTTTAACTGCTGCCCACTGTGTGGACAGGGATGAGGTCAGAGCTGTTCGTCTGGGCGAGCATGACACATCCACAGAAGACGACTACGGAATGCAGATCAATGGATTAAGGAGCTGGGCACCTAAGCCCGTGGAAGTAGAAGTTGAGGAAAGTATCATACATCCGGATTTTAAGTGGCACCATCTGAGAAACGACATTGCCCTACTGCGACTCAAGTTGCCAGTACGGTGAGTAGGGATCTCCTAGAAAATAATACTCCGTTTTCCCCAACTAAAATTATTTTTCCATTCAGATACACACCGGCAATCAGTCCCATTTGTCTTTTGGGCCGTCATATCTCCTTGGAACCTTATAGTGTCGCCGCCGAATACAAAATAGCCGGATGGGGCTATACTGAAAGGGATAGGGGTAGCAATGTCTTGCTGAAGACCAATATCATGAGAGTGCACCACGTCAAGTGCAACAGGAAGCACAAGCTCTTGCAGGAGACCCAAATATGTGCTGGCGGCCAGTGGGGCAGGGACACTTGTAAAGGCGACTCCGGCGGCCCTTTAATGGCCTCTTTGGGCAAAGATTTCGTGTATCTGGCCGGCATCACCTCCTATGCACCTTCAAAATGTGGACAGCCAGGTGTCTATACAAAGACTGAATCGTTTATCTATTGGATAAAGTATATGTTAAGGCCTTAAATTAAGCAGGGAAATTATAAAGGTACGACGAACTCTCAGGTAAAAGCATTTATTTGTGATATTTTAAAGTTTAAATCTCTTATTGCCATCTCCTGTTAAGAAAATCTCACTTAGTTATCAATTAATTTATACTGTATTGCTCATAATTCAAAGAATAAAAAACCAAAGAGGCCGCAGTTTCTTTTGACACTGTTTGGGAGTTCTAACGCTCGAAAAGAGCGAAACAATACAAACATAATTATCATAATGCATCAGAGCCTTTCGGATGAAGCTTTTACGTGTCTTAAAGATATATTTTCGTAACATAGGTCAGCAGTGAAATTCCCCTTTCTTTGATTTAGCTTTTTTTTTGTTATATTTTGGTTCATTAATACTGGAAATCAAAGTCGTTCAGGAAACAGGTTCTCGTTTCAGTAGCGAAGCGAAGATAATGAAAATCTATAAATCTGTATTCCCCGATGATTCAGCATCGCTGGAGGAGTCTGGAGGAGCATCTTCCGTGGCAGCTGGATGTTGGTGGCCAGGGCGGTCCCTTTCAATGCTGCCACATTTCTGGGCTACGCGTACGCTCTGGAGTGGGGTCAGCGGTTGAATGGAACCTATGTTTGAGCCATATAGTCAGCGGTTGAATATGAGCCAGAGAGTCTGGTGGTGATAAAGAGCTTGCAAACTGCAACGAGTGTGATTGACATTTAATAAACTATCCAAATATTTTATTAACTAATTATACCATGACTTTAAAGGGCTTCATTACGAAAAACTAATCTTGCGGATTAACTTTTAAATTAAATATTTATATTCCGATCACATAATCGGTCAAGCCCCTATAGTATTTGCTCATTGATATCTTTGTCATTACATATCATGATGAGCTCAACGCTTCGATGTTAAAGAGAGTTTTCTGCGAAAACCAAAAATATTCGTAGCGCTCGATATTTATATTTTGCCAAGAAGAAACGCTATAGTCGACTGCCGACTATGAGATACCCTATGTGTATAACTAATAACTGATGTTGACCTCATGTAACGCCATATTTCTTAATAAATATATAAGTACATAAGACCCCACAGTTTTCCACGCTGAAACAAACTGGCTCTACGTAGACATCTCAGGAAAGAGATACTTTATATCACTTACAGTTCCTGAGATTTTAGCTTTCACACGGACAGACGGACATGGCTAAATCGACTTGCTATTGATCCCGATCAAGAATATATATACCTTATAGGGAAGCGGTAACGATCATTTCTATCTGTTACATACTTTTCAACAAACTCATTATACGCCATTACTCTAAGATTCAAGAGTATTAAATCCGAGCGGCAGCAATAAATGCTCGTTTGGCCGAACCCATTATCACGAACTTACCGCCGAATTTGGCCTTTATAAACAATGATACCGCTTAGAAATCAGTTAGTCTTCAATTCGGCTTATAACTCAGCGAAACTGCGTCGCGAGCCATTTAAACAAGATAAGTTAAATTAATTAATTATTTAATAAATACAAAACCTAATGCTCAAAATGGATTTCGGGCTGATAGCGAAAACTTTGCTTGTGCTGCAGATATTAATTTTGATTGAATCGGCTAATTCTGGTAAGAAAAGTTGAAGATGGCTAGTGAATTGGTTTTATGGATCGTTTAAGTAATAATCATTAAACGTTCTTAAGGCTGATCTACAACAAATAGTTATAGTTGAGTGCAAATCAAATTCTAAGTCGTTTTAAACAACTTACAGAATTCCCTCTGTGCCAAATCAATGAAAAGTGCGTCAGGCGATACTTGTGCCCCCATATGTATGATTTTTTCTTGGATTCAGAAATGTCAGGCATTCAGTGCGGAATCGATCATAGGGCGAAGTCGACAGACCAGAGGATATACGTCTGTTGTCCAGAGCCGGGAAATGTTTTGCCAAACGAAAGGATTTGTGGACAAGGTCCTCCTGTCCAAAAAATTATGCATGGCGATGAGGCTAGGCTTAATGAGATGCCATGGATAGCACTTCTTCTATACCATAATCCGTGGACCAAGTGTGCGGGCTCGCTGATCAACAGTAGATATGTTTTAACTGCTGCCCACTGTGTGGACAGGGATGATGTCAGAGCTATTCGTCTGGGCGAGCATGACACATCCACAGAAGACGACTACGGCATGCAGATTAATGGATTAAGGAGCTGGGCACCCAATCCCTTGGAAGTAGAAGTTGAGAAAAGTATCATACATCCGGATTTTAATTGGCACCATCTGAGAAACGACATTGCCCTACTGCGACTCAAGTTGCCAGTACGGTGAGTAGGGATCTCATAGAAAATAATACTCCGTTTTCCCCAACTAAAATTATTTTTCCATTCAGATACACACCGGCAATCAGTCCCATTTGTCTTTTGGGCCGTCATATCTCCTTGGAACCTTATAGTGTCGCCGCCGAATACAAAATAGCCGGATGGGGCTATACCGAAAGGGATAGGGGTAGCAATGTCTTGCTGAAGACCAATATCATGAGAGTGCACCACGTCAAGTGCAACAGGAAGCACAAGCTCTTGCAGGAGACCCAAATATGTGCTGGCGGCCAGTGGGGCAGGGACACTTGTAAAGGCGACTCCGGCGGCCCTTTAATGGCCTCTTTGGGCAAAGATTTCGTGTATCTGGCCGGCATCACCTCCTATGCACCTTCAAAATGTGGACAGCCAGGTGTCTATACAAAGACTGAATCGTTTATCTATTGGATAAAGTATATGTTAAGGCCTTAAATTAAGCAGGGAAATTATAATGGTACGACGAATTTTCAGGTAAAAGCATTTATTTGTGATATTTTAAAGTTTAAATCTCTTATTGCCATCTCCTGTTAACAAAATCTCACTTGGTTATCAATTAATTTATACTGTATTGCTCATAGTTCATAGAATAAAAATTCGAAGAGGACATAAATGTCGTAATCAGTTTTTTTTTGGCATTTTTCTGACACCTTTTTGGGGGTACTAACGGTCGAAAAGAGTGAAACCTCGATCGGTAATTATGTATTCATCAATTCACTTGCAAAAGTCGGCGAAATAGTTTACGTGACTTTGTTTGCCAAACATAAATGACTTCATATTCAATTTTAATAAGATTACTCACTCCAAAGTAATTCATTTTTCGGCTGTTTTTTATTGGCCCTGCTGAGGAATTTCTATGTAGGGTCATTTGTTTGTTTTTAAGGGGGATATATTTTCGGCTATTTAATTCTGAATCACCATCTGTAGCTTCAGCCATAGCTTATTAAGTTCAGAATTGTAATTTATTAATGCTAAATCTTCCATGTTAACAGCTAAAATGCTTACAAAAAAAACGTTAAATTAAAATAATTTTGAATTTGAATTTGATAGCAGTGCTGTAAAACGACATAAGCTACGTTAATCATAGCTTTGGAGTATTTGCTATTTTATATCAAAGTTTTAAACCATTAGTTTGGCCACAAGCCATAAACCGTTTAGACATTCAGTAAAACGCGAAAATCCCTAACGGATAAAACGTTTGCCTCAATGTGGCCACACCGAGTCGAACGATGAACAACAACACATTGTCGCGTCGCGTTCGTGAAAAGAAAAAATAAATATATGTATAAAATTAAATCGAAGTAAAAAAGTGTACATACATGTGGATTTTTAATATTTATTGCGCTGCATTTAATGATCCGTGTCTAGTGAATATCTGCAAACATACACATATGGCCAGGTGCAAAATCAAAGCGAAGCAACGCAGTGAGCTGCGATGAGGAGCAGCTCCAAAAAGATGGCAGCGATGTGCAAAGTGATTTAATGTCGAATTGCGCACAATTATTATTGTTATTTTCATCAGTGGTTGTAGTATGTGCAGTTGTTTGTGGCGGCGCGAAAAGTTCGCAGAGTTCGCTAATTTTGCGGACAGGAGGTGGCAATCGCTCGAAATAACGGTATACAAGAAGACGAAAAGAAAAACAAACTAAAAAGCAGAGCAAAAAACAGCAAAAAGAAAAAAATCGCTGGAAAACGCAACAGAGTGAATTATTTCCAGTGCTGCTCCCTCAATTCTTCCATCCTCCCCCTTTCTACCGACCTGGAAATACCTCCCCAAAAAAAATCAAATTACGTGGCAAGTGGTCAGGCAAGAACAACAACAAACCAGAAAAAACAACAAGCCTGCTTCTGCAAGTTTTTTTTCGGTTCGAATTCTTTTTGGTTTTTGGTTTACTGTACGTACCGAGTACGCAAAAACACCCACCACCCCAAAGACCCAAATAAAGGAGTACAAGAATCCAGAGAAGCCACCACCACCATCGAAATGTCGTCACTCAAGGTCGCCGTGAGGGTTCGCCCCTTTAACTCCCGGTAAGCCCAGATATTCTATAACTATTTTTGGCTACAGCTGCGGTCAAAAAAATGGAGGAAAAATAGGAGGAGTAGACTCAGATATGCTATGCTATGCTAGGGTTATGCTAAAGGTAATAAGAACGTTTGTCCAGTTACTTAAGTCTTATTTTCATCCAATTTTCATTAAACCCCTCTCAAACAGTTACAAATACAGCTTAATAAATAAATAAATATTTACTAACTTTTTAGAAAGTACATGTTAAATAAGCCTTTGATCTGAATAATCCAAAAATAAATTGATGAAATGTACAAAATTTTAAATAAAAGTTCCACTCAAAAGTTTCCAGATCTATTACAATGACCTCGAATATGAGTATTAGAATGTTTGTCGGGAACTCGTGATAAGGCGTATAAAGTTTAAAACGCCCCTCAATGAACGTTGGAAAATTTGTTGCGCATTTAATTAGCCCTAAAGAATGGAAACGAATCTCTGGAAATTATACATTTTTGGCTAACAAATTTCTGTAAAAAGAAATCATAAAAAGTAGCAAGTAGTGGGTCTGGACGAATGCGCCTACTTAAAACCACATTAAACCTATTTTCTTGTACCAACCTCGTCTACGATCGTTAACTATTTTTGTGGCCGTTGTTTTTGTGTCTTTATCTTGTCTATCTGGCGAAGCGGTCATTGCTTTTGCTTTTGGCACAGTTACTTGCGCATAAAGCCGAATCGAAACAAAAGCTGGCAAAGGCAGAGGAAAGACAAACGCACAGAGAAGTTGGCAGAACTGGCAGACAAAGAAAGATACATATGCCCCGTAATGATGTCATTCATCTCCTGGGTTCGATATAAAAATCACATCAACCTATACAAAACGCCGTTGCCGTGTGTTAATTGTGCATGAAATAAAACAACATCATCAGAGGCAAATGCTGTAATTATAATGGCAAGCAAAAACTAGAGCTAACTCCCTGCCGAGTTGTGACATCATCGTTTTGGCTCCAACTTATGCAAATCAGCTAATAATGTATACAGGGAGCACTCCATAAAGGAAACTAACAAACTTAAACATTGAAATTATACATTTATTTATTACATAAAACTGTATCAATTTATTTTAATCTACAGAAGAGCAACATATACATATCTGTTTGATGACCTAAACATTTTGGATTATTCCATTTCAGTTTCTATTTTTGTATTTCTTATATCAAATACCTCAAAATATACACATTATAATTGACTTCTTGAGATTTTCCTACTTAGTGCTTTCACTGTAAACATTTTTACCCAGTTTGTTTGGCCTCCGGACGGAAATTTTTAGCACATATTTCCACGGCTCCTCAGTGGACATGCAAGACTGACTGCCTGTTTTAGCCTCCATGCGAAAACAAAAGCAGAAATCTATTATAATTACGTATAAGTGTGTTTATATGCATTGCACCCAAAAAACCAAAAAAAAAAAAGAGCCAAATTAATTTTGATTTTTGGCACGAAACTGGCCAAGCAAGTTCCATACCTCATCGTTAATGACTCAGGCCAGCGAGTCTGAGTCCCGCATAAAAATTTTCAATTGAGGAATGAATCAACGCTAAAAAGAATTTCCCGCTGGAGGACGGAGTTTGGATAAATGGGGCGATAGCTGTGCAAACATAGCCGCTCTTCTTTTCCGTAATCTCCATCTGAATGTCTGCTCTCGCATCGGGCCAAAGATTAACGAATTAAAGCCACTCAAACGCAATGAGCACTGAGCCGACTTGAGTGCAGCATGGCAAAGTGGAGCGGCGTAATCATGCCAGCCCATGGTGGCGAGGGGAATGACCTAAAATTGTCGCTCGAAATGGGACAAGGCACTGCAGAGAGTCATGAAATAAATATATCTTTTAAACCAAAGTCTAAATTTTATCCCAGTCTAAAATCTAGCAAAATAAAATACCACATTTAATGAAAGTTTTGTGAAATTTTAATAAATGTTTGTTTCTCTGGGTAATTCCCGTATAAGGCTTTTAAATAAATTTATTTAATGAACAAGTATAAACACAGCAAAGATAATCATTAAAAACACATTTTAGTTTTGCAATAAAATTAGTTACAGTGTGAGAAAATTTATTGAATGTTACTTGCCTATAAACGAAATTTGAATGTTATTTGATACAAAAATGATGGAAATCACTAAATGGTAGAGAGTCTAATTTAGTTGGACCCAAAATGAACTTCCATAATTAGAAACAGCTTGTAATTGTAGTTCTAATAACAATCATGTGATTTTTCTCTGTATATCTCAGCCTAGAAGTTATGACCCGTATAATAGAGTCTATATGGATGCAGTAAAATACTAAATCCACGGTTTTCCCTGAATTGGGTGCTATCAGGGGTCTGCTATTTGTTTGGATGCGACTTCGTGTGTGTTTTTTCATTCCAGTTGGAGTCTATTTCCGCGTGTGGGTGCCCCGATGAACTCCAGTCAACCGGTTCGGTCGGCTCCATCTTTAAACGAATGTTCTATGTTTCCATCTTTTTTATTTGCGCCGCTTTTCCTTTTGATGTTGCAATCAAGTTTATTATTCCCTCCAAACCGGATTTTCTTTTATAATTTGTAGCTAGCTCATCGTCGTCTGATCACAGGGCAAACATGTCAATTGGATTGCATGGGGCAGTCTATTTCGCTTCTATTTCCATTCATTTTCCCCGTGAAACGCCTCCTGACTTTTCGCCATTTGTTCGGGTCATGCAAAAATCGTTAATAGGAATATTTATGAGCAAGCTGTGCGGTCTATTTATATTCCGACACGAAGGGCCCCAAAGGGCGGGCCACAGAGGTGTTTTTGGAGAAAAAAGCAAAAAGCATTTATTATATAAAACTTTAACAATAGGCTTCTTCGTCGCGTCTGTTAGCCAGAGATAGAGAGAGACCCATTATTTGCTCTGACAACTTCCACGGACAAGTAATAAATAAAAATGTCATTTGCATTTCCTATTGCAGTGAGATCGACATGGACGCCCAACTTATTATGGAAATGGAGAACAAGAAGACGCGTCTTCTAAAGCCCCGTCTACAGTCGATTCGCGATGCCGGCCGGGACAATCATCATGACTTCACCTTCGACTATTCCTACTGGTCATTTGATGCGGAGGATCCACACTTTGCCACCCAAGAGCAGGTGTACAGCGATCTTGGCAACGACGTCGTCGATTGTGCCTACGAAGGTAAGCCAAGGTCCAAGGGGTCACACCATTCGATTACACAATTGTGACGCATTTAACCCCCAGCTAATTGAGCGAGTGTTGGTCTCGGCTTTCACTTTGTAGCCATCACCCACATGAGACCTGCACAAAAAGAAATCTAAGATGACTGTCTTAGTTTATATTTTGTCTTTACAAATATATAAATCTATATTCTATAAGTTGAATGATATTACTAAACTGCAAAGAACTTAAAAACTATCAAAAGCTATATATATTATTATTTATTATTTCCTAAAATTAAATTTGGCAATTTTTTTCTGTGTACATTTTCCATTAGCCCCACACTGAGAGCATGCTTCTTTCATTCTGTTTTCTTGCACTCACGGTTTTGTTTACATTTTCCTTGT